GGATGGAACGGTACAGTTCAGTAGTGACTGTACTCTGAAGGAGGGATGGGAACGGTACAGCTCAGTAGTGACTGTGCTCTGAAGGAGGGATGGAACGGTACAGTTCAGTAGTGACTGTACTCTGAAGGAGGGATGGAACGGTACAGTTCAGTAGTGACTGTACTCTGAAGGAGGGATGGAACGGTACAGTTCAGTAGTGACTGTACTCTGAAGGAGGGATGGAACGGTACAGTTCAGTAGTGACTGTACTCTGAAGGAGGGATGGAACGGTACAGCTCAGTAGTGACTGTACTCTGAAGGAGGGATGGGAACGGTACAGCTCACTAGTGACTGTACTCTGAAGGAGGGATGGAACGGTACAGCTCAGTAGTGCCTGTACTCTGAAGGAGGGATGGGAACGGTACAGCTCACTAGTGACTGTACTCTGAAGGAGGGATGGGAACGGTACAGCTCACTAGTGACTGTACTCTGAAGGAGGGATGGAACGGTACAGCTCAGTAGTGACTGTACTCTGAAGGAGGGATGGGAACGGTACAGCTCACTAGTGACTGTACTCTGAAGGAGGGATGGAACGGTACAGACTCAGTAGTGCCTGTACTCTGAAGGAGGGATGGGAACGGTACAGCTCACTAGTGACTGTACTCTGAAGGAGGGATGGGAACGGTACAGCTCACTAGTGACTGTACTCTGAAGGAGGGATGGGAAAAGGTACAGCTCACTAGTGACTGTACTCTGAAGGAGGGATGGGAACGGTACAGCTCAGTAGTGACTGTACTCTGAAGGAGGGATGGGAACGGTACAGCTCAGTAGTGACTGTACTCTGAAGGAGGGATGGAACGGTACAGCTCAGTAGTGACTGTACTCTGAAGGAGGGATGGGAACGGTACAGTTCAGTAGTGATGTGTGTGCACCTTTAGAAAATCAGTTACTGAATGAATGATGGGAAATTTTTTTTTTTCTGTCACATTACCTTAGTGGGAGGCGGCCAAAGTGTAAACAAAAATTATTTTGCTTTATATTGCGTAAAAAAATATGAGAAAAATACATCCATTTAATAACTTGGCCAGACACGAAATTATATCTTGCCTTAAAAGGAGAACTAAAACATTCAAACTAATTGCCATCTTGCACGTATCCACCAGTTGTTCCAGCTTTGACCGCTTGTTGTTGAAGATCCGAACTGAGCTGCCACGCTGCTGCTCCTTACTTCAGTATCCTTGATGATGTGTTGATATACACAGTGCTTCTGCTCCTTACTTCAGTATCCTTGATGATGTGTTGATATACACAGTGCTTCTGCTCCTTACTTCAGTATCCTTGATGATGTGTTGATATACACAGTGCTTCTGCTCCTTACTTCAGTATCCTTGATGATGTGTTGATATACACAGTGCTTCTACTCCTTACTTCAGTATCCTTGATGATGTGTTGATATACACAGTGCTTCTGCTCCTTACTTCAGTATCCTTGATGATGTGTTGATATACACAGTGCTTCTGCTCCTTACTTCAGTATCCTTGATGATGTGTTGATTACACAGTGCTTCTGCTCCTTACTTCAGTATCCTTGATGATGTGTTGATATACACAGTGCTGCTGCTCCTTACTTCAGTATCCTTGATGATGTGTTGATATACACAGTGCTGCTGCTCCTTACTTCAGTATCCTTGATGATGTGTTGATATACACAGTGCTTCTACTCCTTACTTCAGTATCCTTGATGATGTGTTGATATACACAGTACTTCTGCTCCTCACTTCAGTATCCTTGATGATGTGTTGATATACACAGTGCTTCTACTCCTTACTTCAGTATCCTTGATGATGTGTTGATATACACAGTGCTTCTACTCCTTACTTCAGTATCCTTGATGATGTGTTGAAATACACAGTGCTTCTGCTCCTTACTTCAGTATCCTTGATGATGTGTTGATATACACAGTGCTTCTGCTCCTTACTTCAGTATCCTTGATGATGTGTTGATATACACAGTGCTTCTACTCCTTACTTCAGTATCCTTGATGATGTGTTGATATACACAGTACTTCTGCTCCTTACTTCAGTATCCTTGATGATGTGTTGATATACACAGTGCTTCTACTCCTTACTTCAGTATCCTTGATGATGTGTTGATATACACAGTGCTTCTACTCCTTACTTCAGTATCCTTGATGATGTGTTGATATACACAGTGCTTCTGCTCCTTACTTCAGTATCCTTGATGATGTGTTGATATACACAGTGCTTCTGCTCCTTACTTCAGTATCCTTGATGATGTGTTGATATACACAGTGCTTCTGCTCCTTACTTCAGTATCCTTGATGATGTGTTGATATACACAGTGCTTCTGCTCCTTACTTCAGTATCCTTGATGATGTGTTGATATACACAGTGCTTCTACTCCTTACTTCAGTATCCTTGATGATGTGTTGATATACACAGTGCTTCTGCTCCTTACTTCAGTATCCACGGTGATATGTTGTCAGCTCCCGTGAATCTTCCAACATTTTCTTCACTTCTGTGTTATGTGTATTTGTTTTGGTGTGGGTTGACCTGTTAATGATTTCATGTTCCTTGTTATTAATTTGTGTTCATCTGTGAATACCATACCTTTAGTTTGTTCAGTTCCTCATATCTGTCTCTATCATCCGTGAGTGTTCCTTCTTTTTTCTCTTCAGTTGAATCACTTGGTCTCCTAAGTACAATCGATTGGAATTATTGGGTTTATGTCCTCTTTATCGTACCTATTCTTGAAACCGTGTATAATGTTTTTGTCCACTGCCACCACTCTGAGACTAAAGCTACTTCCTGTATCTATGGTTTATCAGAATCTTTAACCCCCCTCCCCCCCGGTATCTCCTTCATTCTGCCTCTTAAACAACTTATCAAACAATTTATCCCTTATTTTACTGTCTGTGCACAGAACCTTCTCTGCTGTGTGAATTCAATTAGGCATCTAAATTATGGGTAGCCTCTGAAATCCCTTGAACTGTTTCCTGGAACGCAGGTGAAAAACATGATTTTCACCTGGAAAATTCTGGAGGGATTGGTTCCATATTTGCACACCGAAATCACTCCCTAGGAGAGCGAGGCGAGACATACAGTGCAGAACACCTCCAGTGAAAAGCAGAGATGCAAAGGGTACACTAAGAGATAATTTAATAACTGTGAGGAGAATGACCCATAGACCCCTGGCTGTCTGTACGAGGAACTTTCATGCGTGTTTCGAGATAGATGTTGACTTTCCGGGCTGTAGTGTGTATGATGAACTATCTGTGGCCATCACCAACACACTGACCCATTAGGTCGTGAATCAAGAGGCGCTGGTCTGGGACCGGGTAAAGAGGTGAGTGACCCAGGAACTGTCTACAGGTAATCAGGTAAATTACCATTACTGGATCAGTTCAGTACACTTATTTATCACCCAGTGTGTATGTGAGTGAAGCATAGCGTCAGTAGCTCATGTATAGTGTGAGTGAGGTATGGCATCAGTAGTGTTAAGTGTTGTATGTACCACTTACGCTATAAATGTAAGAATGTTTAGTGTTGTCTTCTAGTACAAGCACCAGCATTACACCTTTTTTCTTTAATAATTCTGCATCGTGATAGCACCAATAACCTGCTAGTATTCAGTGATCTGGACTCATTAAAGCACCACAGCTATGACTGTCTTGAACATTTGTGTATCCTTCTTGCACTGATAATCTGATGTAAATAATTCTATCTCATCTTAGCACCGATGTTTTCACGGATGATATTTTACCTTTTTTCCAGCCCTTGATGTGAACCAGAAGCAGCACTGTCTTGTTAATATTACCTTTGTTGTGTCATGACTATGTTACTGTCCTGTTAATGTTACCTCTATATCTTAAAACACTCTTACTGTCTCGGGAAGTGCCTGCCAATAAGAACATGTCATACCTCAGTACTTTGCTACTGTAACACTGTTCTCAGTAGTACCAGTTACCAGTAACCAGTTACCAGTAGATGACTCACTACCAACCGTGTGTGAATCACTGACTGTTATTCACGTTGCTGCTGACCATAGCATGTTTTTGAACGCCGCTCACCCCCTAGGCACTGGTGGGTCAGTCTGAGATAGAGAGCAGAGAGAGGCAGGGGGTTGATGGTGCTTCCCATACTTTCCGTTATAATTATACGTACTAACCAGCCTACGTGAGTGTTTTTACCCCATCCACGTTATCGAACCCACATGACACTGTAGTGTGCTAACAGTACTTGATAATGTACTTTGTAGTGTCCTTCCTGCCTCGTTATCCATGAGTATATTTTATATCTTCTACAGACATAACTTAGTTCGTAGTGAACACTCTGCGTCTCAGAGGAACTTCACATTTTCTGCACTTTCATCTATGTCTCTCCGGCACTGACCTTGTGTGACCTGCCATGTCTCCTGGCACTAACCCCCGTGACCTCTTAACTGAGCAAATGTGACATTGCTGTACCCCTTATGTGACTCAGCATGATCTTCCCCTACCTGTGTACTAACTCAACATGATCTTCTCCCTGTGTGCTGCCTCAGCATGATCTTCCCCTCCCTGTGTACTAACTCAACATGATCTTCTCCCTGTGTGCTGCCTCAGCATGATCTTCCCCTCCCTGTGTACTAACTCAACATGATCTTCCCCTCCCTGTGTACTGACTCAGCATGATCTTCCCCTCCCTGTGTACTGACCCAGGATGACCCCTCTCAACAACCATTATTCCCTCCCCAAGTCATTACAATCTGCCCTGGTAGTTGCTGGTAGCAACAACCTGCGCTGGTAGTTGCTGGTAGTAACAACCTGCCTTGGTAGTTGCTGGTAGCAACAACCTGCCCTGGTAGTTGCTGGTAGCAACAACCTGCCCTGGTAGTTACTAGTAGCAACAACCTGCCCTGGTAGTTGCTGGTAGTAACAACCTGCCCTGGTAGTTGGCTGTAGTAACTCCCTAGCTTGGAAGTTGCTGGTATTGACACCGTGTTGTCCTCCTCTTCCTACAGGCAACAACGTTCACCCGCTGGGGCAGCAGTTGGATAGCAAGAGTTACCAGTGGTTTGGTGCCACCGTCAGCAGCTCTGGCGAGGACGGCATTGTTGTGGTGAGTACTCCTTGCTCCTCATCCTCTTTCTCTCCCTCTCTACACACATACACACACTATGTATATATATATATATATATATATTTATATATATATATATATATATATATATATATATATATATATATATATATATATATATATATATATATATATATATATATATATATATATATATAGGACCCATACATAACTTTAAGACGAGGTGTAACAAAGCTCAGGAAGCAGAGAGAGAGAGGGGACCTAGTAGTGAATAATGAAGAGGCGGGGACAGGAGCTGAGTATCGACTCCTGCAACCACAGTTAGGTGAGTACACACTGACACACACACACACACACACACACACACACACACACACACACACACACACACACACACACACACACACACACACACACACACACACACCGATAGAACAGGCCTAGTGTCTAATCGACATGTGCTTAGGACAAAATGGTAACTAACTATACACAGTTTGAAGACTAGATATGAGTGGGTCTTGGAGGCTAGAATTTCTGAATGAAGGTAGGCGAGTACTCACACACACACACACACACACACACACACACACACACACACACACACACACACACACACACACACACACAAAGGTTTGCAACAAGGTTAGTTCCAGAGCTAAGGGGAATGTCCTATGAAGAAAGATTAAGGGAAATCGGCCTGACGACACTGGAGGACAGGAGGGTCAGGGGAGACATGATAACGACATATAAAATACTGCGTGGAATAGACAAGGTGGACAAAGACAGGATGTTCCAGGGAGGGGACACAGAAACAAGAGGCCACAATTGGAAGTTGAAGACACAAATGAGTCAGAGAGATAGTAGGAAGTATTTCTTCAGTCATAGAGTTGTCAGGCAGTGGAATAGCCTAGAAAATGACGTAGTGGAGGCAGGAACCATACACAGTTTTAAGACGAGGTTTGATAAAGCTCATGGAGCGGGGAGAGAGAGGGCCCAGTAGCAACCGGTGAAGAGGCGGGGCCAGGAGCTAGGACTCGACCCCTGCAACCACAAATAGGTGAGTACACACATTCATTTTTATCTATATTACTTCATAATATTTGTGTTTGGACTGAATTAAAATGGTTATTACTATAAAAATAAGACATAGTTGGAAGTCCCTCAACTGTTTATGTTGTAGATGGCTTCCAGAAACATAATGAAGGTGTTGCAGTCATGCACAGTTGCTGTGCTGGGTTTAATTAAGGCAGATGGTAGAGACGTCATCCACTTGGATCCTATAGGACTAGTGTCTTCATCGCAACTGCTCCGGGACGTACACAGGTTTCATGTGCCTCGCATATGCGTAGAATGGTGTGTGTGAACTCATACGGGTCACAGCGTCGGTGATTTATCAGCTACTCAAACTCAACCTTCATATTTCTATTCCGTGGCACTAGGTAAGATAAGAGATTAAGATAACATTTCGTTCGGATTTTTAACCCCGGAGGGTTAGCCACCCAGGATAACCCAAGAAAGTCAGTGCGTCATCGAGGACTGTCTAACTTATTTCCATTGTGGTCCTTAATCTTGTCCCCCAGGATGCGACCCACACCAGTCGACTAACACCCAGGTACCTATTTGCTGCTAGGTGAACAGGACAATAGGTGTAAGGAAACGTGTCGGAATTTCCACCCGCCGGGAATCGAACCCGGGCCCTCCGTGTGTGAAGCGGGAGCTTTAGCCACCAGACCACCGGGCCACGGTGACGGTCTCCTTATATAACATACCATTGACACACTGTACCAAAACTCGGGACCAAGAGCTGTGAATCACCCTCTGCTAACACAGCTAGCCGAGAACACCAGAACACTTCTATTTAGCAACCTGTCAACACCAGTCACACAGTCACCTCAGTAATGTAAGGAAGCATTTATTTAGTTTCAGGGTGGCTCAGAGATGAGGTAGACGATGAAGTGGTGGAGTCATCCCTTCACAGCTTCAAGAGTAGGTATGACAGACCAAAAAGCTAGTGACCAGCCAAAAAAAGGAGGGGGTCAGGAACTGTGTATCAACTCATAAGCATTCCTTAGTGAGTACATTATCCCCACAATATCTCCGCTAAATTACAGACCATTATTTAACGTGTAAAGTGAGGAATAGAGACGGTAAACAGGAAGGGAAGTAGAGCACCTAGAAGGAGAGAGTTATCTAGGAACAACAACACTGTTTCAGGGATCAAAAAGAAAAATTCTCACAAATCTCAACAACGTACCACACGCTCACAGAAATTAGAGAGGAAGAAGAATGAGTCGACTGTGTATTCTAAGACTGCGAAGCCTCGACACCGCCGCACCAGAGACTGACTCATAAACCTGAAAAGCAAGGCTGTGTAGCGGGACAGGTAAGAGACTGAGTAAAGGAATATGTAAACAAGAGTCATTGCGAGAGACGCGTGAGAATGGACGAACGTTATGAATGGTGTTGCACAAGGCTCCTTCCTGGGACCCAGCCTGGTACTCTACAAGGCTCCGTTCTGTGACCCAGCCTGATTCTCCACAAGCTCCGTCCTGAGACCTAGTCTTGTACTTGTATATAAGTATCTTCAGAGATATAAACTCATACATACCAGTGTTTGAGAGCGACACAGATTAAAAAGGAAAGTCCAAATTGATTAACATTGCAAAAACCTCTGAGCAACTACAGACGCCAAAATAAGTGGCTACTCGAATTTAGACAAAGCAAAATGAATAATGTGAGAGGGTGGAAGAGAGCAAAACACTATATATAGTACAAGCCCGAGAGCGGCTCACAAGTCAATTGTTGTAAAGGAACTGGGGGTCAACAACACGCCGAAACTGTCTCCACAAGGACACACAGACTAGATATGCTGTGGTTGCTGCGTGATCCCAGCACTAATTCTAACCCTCAACTAAATAATATATTCTTGCTCTGAAAGTTTTAAGTCAATAAAAAGAGTCATTGTATATTTTTCGCACAGATACCATTATCCCAAAACACAGTACACTGGCACTTTACGTTTGAAGTTGCTCAAAAAGTTGTATTTTCAAATTATCGGCGTTGATGGTTTGAAGTCGATCGCATGAGGCATTCACAGATTATTACACGAAACTCTGTATATTAATTTCCCCGGTGTTTTTAACAAAATTCTGGAGAGAGAGTGTGAGAGAGACGGGGAGAGTTGTGAGAGAGGGAAGGGGAGGGGGAGAAGGCGAGGAATGGAGGGAGGGGGAGAAGGCGAGGAATGGAGGGAGGGGGGAGAAGGCGAGGAATGAAGGGAGGGGGGAGAAGGCGAGGAATGGAGGGAGGGGGGAGAAGGCGAGGAATGGAGGGAGGGGGGAGAAGGCGAGGAAGGGGAGAAGATATGAGGGCTAACACATCCAGAGACAATTGATGTACACATCCTGTGCTTAAATCTTAGTGGCTTTCTCATAGCCGGAGGAGGTGGAAGAGGAGAAAGAGGAAGAAGAGGAGGAGGAAGAGGAAGAAGAGGACGACGACGAAGAGGAAGAAGAGGAGGGGGAAGAGGAAGAAGAGGAGGAAAAGTATAGGAAAGTGAAGAAATATAAAGAAAACAGTGAATGTGAGAGATGAGGCTCCTCGGAGTGTCTTAGATATTTGTGTTTGCTATGAAGGAGGAGGAGAAGGAGGAGGAAGAGCGAATAAGATTATATAAGGTAGAAGGAAGATGGAAGGAGGTAAGAAGAGTGTTCACTAAGATAACACAAATATATTCACTTATTATCTTGTTATCATAGTTAGTGTACATGTGTGAGACGTGCCCTTCCCCTCTTACATGTTAACCACTCCTTATTGTACTCTTCTCTCCTACCACCACCACCACCTGTTCTCCCTCTCTCAAGTGCCATCTGCGCCTTTAACCACCTGCACCACCTGGCTCTCTTGCCCATCTATTGAGAAATTACTGAAGGTATTTTATTTTGCAGTTTGTTTCTTAGTCATCCTGACTGTTCTTGGTATAGGGTGTTTACTCACCTAGTTGTGGTTGCAGGGGTCGATTCATAGCTCCTGGCCCCGCCTCTTCACTGGCCGCTACTGGGTCTTGTGTGTGTGTACTCGCCTATTTGTACTCACCTATTTGTGGTTACCTGGAGGTTACCTGGAGGTTATTCCGGGGATCAACGCCCCCGCGGCCCGGTCCATGACCAGGCCTCCCGATGGATCAGGGCCTGATCAACTAGGCTGTTACTGCTGGTCGCACGCAGTCCGACGTACGAGCCACAGCCCGGCTGATCCGGCACTGACTTTAGGTATCTGTCCAGCTCTCTCTTGAAGACAGCCAGGGGTTTATTGGCAATTCCCCTAATGCTTGATGGGAGGCTGTTGAACAGTTTTGGGCCCCGGACACTTATGGTGTTTTCTCTTAGTGTACCAATGGCGCCCCTACTTTTTATTGGCGGCATTTTGCATCGCCTGCCCAGTCTTTTACTTTCGTAGGGAGTGATTTCTGTGTGCAGATTTGGGACCATTCCTTCCAAGATTTTCCAAGTGTGGTTGCAGGGGTCGATTCATAGCTCCTGGCCCCGCCTCTTCGCTGATTGCTACTAGGTCCTCTCTCTCCCTGCCCCATGAGCTTTATCATACCTCGCCTTAAAACTATGTATGGTTCCCGCCTCCACTACGTCACTCTCTAGGCTATTCCACGGCCTGTGTGTGTGTGTTAATACTAAATACATAATACTGTCTGGTCTTCGAGTAGTACAAATTTTTACTTATAACTGCTTTATTCCACATCTTAGTCGGACGTTAGTTGTTGCTTTAAAAGCAATATAAAGTTCCCCCTGCAGCGCGTGATAGTCGCATGGTTGATTCTGCGGCCGAAGTGGCAGGTTTATTGTGCACCACATATCCATCCTGCGGAGGGGAGCGCGAGAGGAAATGGACACACAAAAGGTGCAGGAATTAGGCCCCAATGGGGTTAACAGGAGCACATTTAGATTTATATCTACAAGAACATTTAGAATATTTGCTTAATATGTTTGGCATCTTATTATCTT